TGGAGATTATTCCCAAACATAGGAAGAGCTCGCAAAATCCTGGCAAGTCATTCAAGTAGACATTTCAAAATGTTTAAAAGTGGACGGCTAAATTCAAAAGCAAGAAAATCGGAAGCCACATGAGCTGACGTCAAGAGACGTTGGAAGACGACTTTRCATGCCAAAACTGCTTCACAATAAAAAGTTATTTTCAAAGCTGATGATTTCAAACACACAAAAAAAAATAAATCAAATAGAGTTAAACCTGTGAAATCAGCTAAATCAACGGTAAAGTCTAATATCCATAACGTTAAAGTAATTGGGATCAGAAAGGTGCGTTATATTATGAACTACTAGAAATCAATAATGACTGCCAGACAATGCCGGGAATTCGCGACTAATTACTAGAAAATACTTTGTTATCAAACGACGCGCGGTTCACATTGCAACTCAGGTTAAAAACTATTTGAAAAAAAAAATGAAAAAAACGGCAGAGAAGTTTTGTCTCATCCGCTTTATAGCCCAGACTGCACTACTTCTGACCGCCATTTATTCTGATAGATAAAGAACGCCTTTCCCGGATCACATCAGAACGAATCTTCAAAAAAATGGCTTTTTTCTTTCTTTGGGGTGGAATCGAAACAAAATTACCAGAAAGATAAGAATATGTTATAGTTTCAGATAGACAATACTTTCAGTAACCCTATTGTACATGTAATCGTAACCATATATAGATCCAATATAGGYCAAAAAAGTGCTTTTTTCTTCCAGTATTATTGAGTGGACTATTCAAWTAATGCAAAGTGATGTTTGCAATCAAAATCGGATCAGTATACTTCAACTTTTTAGAAAAATGCCTCTCAACCACCCTTCGTAATGCGGTTAGGTATGTGACTTCGGTAACAATACTAATAAGTGCGCCCAATTGTAGGCAACGATTTCGACAATCACTTCAATAMTCTTCTAAAACTTAAACGAAGAAAATTGATGAAATTTAGCATAAAGCAGAGAATTAATATTGAAAAAAGTTGCATCTCCAATTAAGAGAAGAAAAATTAGACAATARCGGTTAATCAATGAAAATACAGTACAATGAATGAATTTGAAAAAATACTTGCGGCTTATTTAAGCACCGTCAGAATTTTCAAAATGCCTAAATGAAATGTGAGTGGTACCGCTATTCAATACCTTGCTATCTTCGATCCAACTGTAACAGACACGCATGCGTTAAGGGCTAAATATGAGGCCGCTAACCCTAAATTCGGCAAATGTAGAGTAACCACAGCTTAACAGGCGCTATGGCCTATAGGCCACCCAAACAGAATGCCTGGCACAGCAAGCGGAAACCACTTACACAACGACACACATACATATATATCCTTCTGCATTTGCATATATACATTAGTGCATTGGCAGCAGTATTTAGGCAGCTTTGTGACGCTACTCATGYAGTCACGCACAAAATTGTTGATGCGGCACTTCTCCCGCTGCATAATCGAGCTGGAACAAAATACGCATTTGTGTGTAYATGTRTGTATATATGTGTGAGTGTGGTAATGCAGGTAGATGTTTGCCATCATTGCACTTGCCGCTGTTTTTATTGCTGCGGCTATGCGGATGTTATGCTACACGAGCGTGTTGCAAGTACAACAGCACATGGCCATGCGTATACAAGTATAGACTGACACACTCCAACACATTTATAGATATATGTATGCTGTGCATATGTGTCGCGTAAGTGCCGGTGCAGGACGCATAGTGCTGGTGTCAGTTGTCATTGTGGTCGTGGTAGCGAAGTGCTGTCATCTTCACCTCATTTACGGAATGTCGGTTAAGTGTGTGCGTGTGAAATGTGCCAAAAACACGTGAACATGCGCCAACACACAGYCACACAGGCATTYATGCMTAGATRTATGCGTGTATGTGACCATACGCAGGTAACTATAACATGGCATTCGGACCTGCACACCTTAACGGGGATTACCGAATTCGCTACACCATACCAAAACACACACACACACACACACACACACTCATACATGTATAAAGACATATATGAGCGTCTGCATGTACACAATGTTGCCGCATATTCGCTGATGTTCGTATGGCAGAGCACATCCGCAGATAATGCAACTGACGCACTTGCTGTGGCCAACTTTCTGCTGTGCTGCTCCAATTATCCAACAATGTGGTGGCCATAATTCGAGGTATGCAGTTTATTTAGCTTGTACTTTACAAGTGTTGGCACTCACACGCATGCATGCGCTTACGTCCCCACATATGTATAGTGTGTATGTATATGAATATGTATGAATGCGTCAGTGCGTGTGGGCAGGAGCTTGCCAGCTTTAAATGAGCAGCAAGTGATGGCTGTCACAGCAAAACGCTTCACAATTTCCCTGCATTTGCACTTGATMCCCGCGCTATTTGCTGCCACTGTCCTTCTGGTTTGCCTGCTTCTTTTCYCTCGTGCTGCTAGAAAATATGTTGCTCAATTGATGGCCAAGTGCTCTCTTCTTGTAATGACCCATACCTCAAGCTCTTATTGCGTATTTTCCAATTTTACAAAGTGCCCAAGCACATCAATTGATCCCTGTACTCATTTTGAAAACTAATTAATGGCCTCCGTCGTTGAGATCTGTCACATACATATTCTGAATGTTAGCGTGAATGGTTCACGATTCGAAGTAATTGCTTTGTACCAATACCCATATGTACGTGTACAAACAAAATCCTACCGCGAACTCTACTCAAGTCGAAAGTTCTCCGAAGTCTGTTGCAAACTTTAAGCAGTTACATATATTCACTTGTGTTTGGACCGTTGGTCCCACATGATCGAAGAAATAAGAGTTTTGATAATAATTTCGATATTGAAGCCTCCATGAAGTGTAGTTTTTTTTATAAAAATTTAATTATTTCCGGAAGATTAAAATTTTGTAAAAACCACAATTTTGCTTAGTCCTTCGATTCTTAGCTGTTCTCAACTATTGTAATAATAATTATGTCTGCTTTTTGGTTTTGAAATTATTTTAAATAGAACAAATCTTCTTTACACAAAATATATTTTCTCGTAGGTCCTCCTGGAGATCGTGTACGGCAACAAAGGAAGTCAAAAATTTTTAAAAACGAGTCCTTAGTTTTTGTCTTTATTAAATCAAATTATTAAAAAATAGATAAATAAATGTTTTTTGCTTTTGTTTTGGTTTTTTTACTAGCAAGTGGAACAATCCCCTACCTGCTTCGTTACAATTTTGTTTTGATAAGGTCTTGTTTATTTTGCAAAATTTCACTAATTGTTTGTATAGATACACCTCCTAGCTCCTTATCTTTTTCTATAAATGTCTGTATGACATTAATTTCAGACCGTCAGTTGGCGCTAGTATCCATTTATTACAAAAAATCGCATTTATGACCTGAACGGGCACACATTCGAAGTTTACTTTTTAAAAGTGAATACATTATATTTTGGAAACCTCTTCCCACGCGATGTATGAATTAGGTATCCCCGCAAAACTAATACGACTGTGCAAATTGACGATCAGCAATACTAAAAGCTCCGTCAGGATCGCAAAGGACCTTTTCGAACCTTTCGATACCAAACGTGGTTTTAGCCTAGGGGAAAATAATTCGAGCTTCAGATTTAAATAGAGAATCTTCTATAAGATTGTACAGCTGCTGGCGTATGCTGCTGATACTTATACCTTTGGCCTTAAAAACCGCGCCGTTAGTTCTGCTTTCTCCAGTATGGATAAGGAGCAAAGCAACTGGATCTGGTAGTAAAGAGGGCAAGACGAAGTATCTCCTGTCATCAAACAAACAGTCGTCGCACTCGCGACTTGGCACTCACGTCACTGTTGACCGTCATCACTTCGAAGTGGTAGATAATTTCTTATAAATCGGGACCAATCTTAACACCAACAACAATGGCGGCCTGGCGAAATCCAACGTAGAATAACTGTTGTCAATAGGTGCTACTTCGGATTGAGTTGGAAACTGAGAAGTAAAGTCGTCTCACGACAAACAAAAACCAAACTCTAAAAGCCACTCATTATCCCCGCTCTGATATATGGTGCAGAGGCATGAAGGATGACAACATTTGAAGAGTCGACGTTACGAGTTTAAATTTCTGAAGTCTTAAAACCAAAAAAAAAAATATCCAGCGATTCTTCGAGACTAATCTAGACTGTACTCTGATTTCAATGTTATATTTTTATTGTGTAGATGGGCACTAAATGTGAATAAGGATTTACTATGGAAGGAATTTATAAACAGTTTCGCTTAAAATTGCAAACGTTCTTATTGCTCTCTTCATATTTTTGAACCTACGATTTTTGCAGGGACGACGAAGATGTGTGCTCATTGCTTACTTCCCGGAAATTCCGATTACAAATACACTAAGAATATAGCATAAACTAAAGTACTTTTAAACTCCTCTAAAAGTTACCATATTTTCTATCATTGATATAGTCAGTTAAGAAAGTGGCAAGAACAACAGTCACCACTAAGTGATGAAAAATTTTGAATATAAAAAATGATGGTAGTCGTAGCAAGGGCATAGAATAAAGAACATTGAATGATTTGATATTAGAGAATTTAGTGAAGATTCAGTTTTGCAGCCAGCTCCTAATTAAACAAAACACAGCTCGKTTGGAGAGAACAGAGTAATGACTAACCAAAAAGGATTATTTCATCAGTCAGTATTCCATGAAAATTAATCCTAACCGAATTCGTATGCGAAACCTAGTGTAGTATCAATATCAGGAYGTCAGTTCTCTACGGAACAGTTTATGCGTCAGTGGTAGTGACTTCTGACATTTACTGGTTACTTGTCTATGTAAATTCGGAGTTTCGCCACAACTTCATAGAACTGCTGCACATTACATATCTACTTGTATATGTAGCTGTATATTCACATATTGTATACATATATGAGTTGTGGCCCAAAACGCGGACGGGCGCTTCTTGATACTCACAACCATACCTAAATATAACGCCATAATTACATTGAAGACTGCATATAGTTATTTCATAGGTATCGATTTGTATGCTTGTAAAATATTTAGTGAGTACTTACCGTTTAGTACGTGAACGCGTACGCTGGCCACATCGGCATTTGATGGTGCACAGGAATATTTCCCCGAATCGGCCAAGTCGGCATTTTGTATGAGCAGAAATGACGTAGTCACATCGCCTTTCTCGGTAATTACCGAAACGCCGCCACGTGACGAATCATAATTGATGACCTGTTAAGTGTCGCATGCATTTGTTTGGCGAGATAGAGGGGAGAAGAGACAAAATATCGATATGATAAGATCGCGTTAATTAGTATTGATGTAAATGAGCAATTACAATTATGTGTGCTTGCGGGTGTGCTAACTTGTATTTTATATACATATGTACTCATATACCGAAAATTGTTTGGCTGGAAATATAATTTGCGAATTACACAATTGCATACTATCTACAAAGCATGTGTAATTATATTAAATAGTTAAAGCATATTATTCGTAGATGTGCTTAAAAAACTAATATTCTCAATTTAGAAGGAAACTCTTTCGATAAAAAATCAGTGTATTTAAATTTCTTTTTAATTTCATGGTAACATACATGCATATATACTCGTATATTTCCCTTCACATGCAAATATAAAAATTTGAGTTTGATGTCTATTAAATGATTTTATCGATTTTTTTAATATTTTTTATTTTTTATTTTTTTTTTTTTTAATTTTTTTTTATTTTTTTTTTTTTAAAAGGTTTTTGATTCATTGATTTGGTCAGTGGTTTATGAATAACTTTCGCTTCGAGGGTGAAATATTTTATTTGAAAATATTTTTTTTTTAATTTTCTCAAACTCACTGATTTTCTTAGTTTTTGTTATGGGAAGAGATCATAATTATTTCCGGATAAACATACATCAGCTTCATTCTAGATTATATTCGGTCGAGAGCTGTGCCTCCTCAACATCGCACATACATAAGGTTCTATCCGGCATATTGTGTGAAGGAATAAAGCCCACTGTCAACAAACTGATTGGACCTTATTAGTGTGACTTTAGAATTGGAAAATCAACAACTGACCAGATACTCGCCATGCCCAAAGTCTGAGAAAGGACCCGTGAAAAGAAGTTCGGCACACAACAAAACTTCGTCGTATCCATTCGATACCAAACGCAGTTTCAGACAAGCCGACTCCCTATCGTGTGGCCTTTTCAACCTACTTCTGGAGAAAATAATTCGAGCTGCAGAACTAAACCTTAAAGGTACAATGTCCTATAAGAGTGACTGATGGCGTATGCTGATGATATTGATATCACTGGCCTTAACAACCGTACCCTTAGTTTTGGTTTTTGCAGGTGGGACCAAGAAGCGAAGGAGATGGGTTTGGTAGTGAATTAGGGCTAAACAAAATATCTAGTGTAATCAAACAAAGAGCCATGACACTCGCAGCGAGGCTCCCACGTTACTGTTGACAGTCACAACTTCGAAGTCGTAGATAATTTCGTTTAACTTGGAACCAGCATTAACGCAAMCAATAACGTCAGCCTCGAAATCTAAAGCAGAATATCTCTAGCTAACAGGTACTACTWTGGACTGAGTTAGAAACTGAGAAATAAAGTCGTCCCTCGACGAACAAAAACCAAACTCTAAACGTCACTCATTATCTCCGCTCTGATAAATGATGCAGAGGCATGAAGGATGGCAACATCTGATGAGTCGACGTTACGAGTTTTCGGGAGAAGGGTTCTGTGGAAGATTTACTGTCCTTTGCACATTGGCAACGACGAATACCGCATTCGAAGGTACGATGAACTGGATGAAATATACGACGACATTGACTTAGTTCAGCGAATCAAAAGACAGCATCGAGGCCATGTCGTCCATGTGTAAGTATTCGACACAGTACCTGCCGGGGGAACACATGCACTCCATTGAAAAGACGAGGTGGAGAAGGACTTGGCTGCACTGTCAAATTGTCGCCAAACAGCGAAGAAAAACGCCTGGCGCGCTATTAGAACTCCATACTCGCCATTGTTCTTTCGACCTATGCATTCGTTATATCTAAAATTTAGGTCAACTGGGCATAATCTATGTCAATGAAATTTGAGTACGAACATTGCCCGTTATTAAATTATATGCATACAATAACATATGTTCACATTGTGTACCAAACTGTAAATGTCAACTGAAATCTTTTCATTTCATCTCTCGATATCAATAACGTAATAACAACAAATTGCCTGTCACGTAACCTTGACTATTGATATTGYCAACAATATTCACATCAATCAACATCTTATCACGAGCAATTTGCTACTCCAAACGTATTTTCACAAACATTAAGAAATGTGTTATAAAAAGCGAAAAATAAAATTTGCCATATAGTGCAAAGTGACTTTTACGAGGGTAGTTTGATAAGTCCGTGTTCATGCAAACTAATTGCTATGTGGTGAAGGTTTGGGGTAAAATATGACCAAAATATGACTCCGACATCTTATATGTTCTTTTAGTTTTAGCAACCTACCCAAAGTAGTTAAAAGAGAAGTACAGTTTTTGAGTTATGAAGCTTGGTATTACGTCAACAAATCCGCCCACATTATTGTAGTGCAGACCTGACAATCCTTGAATATTGGTTTAACTGAACTTTATTCTGAACTTGTAAAACTTCAGACAAAAATTTGAAAATATTTCCTATTTCCAAAACTGATAAAGTTAAGGAAGTCATCCATCCCCACTCTGGTAATGTCGATAACATCAAAAAGTTAAGAAAAACACAGCTTGAAAATCGCCATGTTGGCATCAGAGAGATAATAGAGATTCTCAACATTATGAATTGACTAAACACATTTTGGTTAATGTCATGGCTATGAAGCGTGTCAATGCTAAACTCATACCAACAGAAATGAATTTTTGCACAAACGATGTCGAGTAGAATTCAGGTTTATGAATATGACGTCGATACTAAMCAAAGTCTGACAAATGACACTCCAAAAATGAGCGCAAACGAAAAAACAAAAATTTAGTCAACTCACCGAAGACCAACCCAGTCGAGACTTATACCAAGTAACATGCTTTTATTGGTTCAAAACGAACCTACTTTGGAGAGTATTATAAAGATTGTATTAATTTAAATTGCTTTTGTTGGGATAATCCGCAACGAATTTGATCACTAACGCGGTCAACTTTAGGTTCAGTGTCGGCTAGAATACGGATTGGAAACGCCGACAAGGCCTTCAAAGAACGTATACATTTTTCTTCTTTCTCAATTGGAGTTCAGCGGTTTTCCAAGGCTATCAAAGCGTTATTACAGTAACTTGCTTACTGACTTTAAAAGCCACACTCGTTACTAGTTCGTAGAGCGGAAAGACAAAGAAATGGATTGGAAATGGAAGCCACTAAACAAACTTTTAACCGATACAATAAAAATCAAAGTGTAGCCACATTAGCGKAAACCAACAAACTTAGCCATTCCCAACAAAGTTTTGGCCGCTTAACCCTCACTCACACATACATATCTATGTATGTATGAGAGCGTGTATGTATGCATACATGCATAGCTGTACTTCAACCACTTACAGCTGTGTTGCCCATACATAATGAGCCAATTTCAACATTAGACATTGGAATGATTATTCAAATATGAGTTTTATGCYAGCGAACTGATGTGAACTGCGGAAGCACGTATTGGCGCACTCCAGAACGCCACGACGCACTGAGTTTGGCTTGCGGTAATTGCCTGCGTTTCAAGTGGGCCTTCCATTTGCTTCCTCTTCTATTTTCGTGGCTGTTATAACAGACCAGTTGACTTGAGATTTTGTGTTGTTGTTGCTGTCCTTCGATTGTTATAATGATTTTGATTTCGATTTGCTAACAATTACCCAACAACCGTTTCCGCATACACACAAACACACATCCACTTACATACACACACGCACTTCCGTCATTAGTTTTAAGTATGTGCCTACTGCTTGTCAAGCGCTTTATGCCACTTCGTGAAGAAGTGGCGGCTTGTGGGTGACGTTGCGTGGTGCCGGAGTTGCCAAAGCGCTTCCGCTTGTCTTGATGGCATTACCGCTTGTTTTAGTTTTTTTTTACCATACTTTCGTGTTTGTTTTGTGTCGTCCTTATTCATATTTACTTTGAGAGATTTTTTCCACTTGCCTGATGTATATTTGCCACGCCCTTTGTTTCTGTTGCGGGCGGCCGTGGCGTGTGCTTCTGATTGCGATTAGAAAATAAGATTAGGCAGCGCTTCTGTGGTGGTTGTGTGGTTCGAGTGTTGGGATCTACATGTATATGTAGTTGGGTAAGTGGCTTTAGCCATCACTAGCAGTGCTGACTAGTTGTACGCTCATGGCACAGAAAGGCAAATGCTCTCGAGTGGAAACAGAAGTTGTAATATATGTATGCATTGTGTTAGGGCAGTTATTCAATACAGGAAAATTATTTCTACGTGCTAATAAGGAAATTTTACTTTAAAAGTTGTTCAAATTTCAKATATCAAACGAAAAAAATATCACGTCTAGTCGATTTTTCCGACACATTTTCATATCTTCGACCTTTTATATTCTATTGAAATATTCAGTAGTAAAACACTTATAATCGGTACCAATCATCTGTTCAAGGTCGATATTCCTCTAAGTGATCTAGTGACAATTATATGGACACTCAAACGAACTGGGGCTTAAATCGACAGAAATCCTCAATTCAAAAGCCTTTCCATCAAAAATACTCTTTTTTCCCAAATCTTGAGAAAGACATCGAAATGGCATAAAAAAGCACATTCTAATAATTCTAAGATAAATAATATGAAGCATGCGCAATGTGTTCTTAGTGATATTCTGAAACAGTTCTCCGTAATTCAGACAATATTCATTGATCTGAAGCTTTAATACTCGTTTTGGTTTCGGTGTGATGGTTTCATCAATTTCTTTGATAACCGATACTGCGAAACTGAGAGAATCTGAATTTATGGCCATCCAAAACCATTCTCTCAACTACAAAGTTTTTATAACCTGTTCTTTAACAGCAACAGAAAGCAATGTATGGAGTGTAATAAAGATGGCGAGAAGAGTTTTGGTTCATCTTTGTAGAGATCTTCCAAGTAGAATCACTAAAAATTTCTATGAATAAATACTCAATGACAAAGCGGAAAATAAAAAAGCKTAGCACCTCTCTAGTTTGGGTTGCTGTGACAGTCTTAAAAAAGGCAGCAAAAAACAGATGAACTGACCATGAGATGCC